TCCGGTTGCAAACTCAACGGTTTTAAGATCAAGCAAAAACTTCGTATTCTTCCTCGTTTATAAGTAGAATGGAATTTATTCACGTGTCGAACGAATTTTTATGAAAAATTATATAATTATAATAACTAATCGCTCCATGGAGATATCTGGAGAAAAGAGGAATTCATTTTAATTCCGTTAATTATTAATTTTTAAATTAAAACACAATTATGTCTCGTTAATGTGCGTATTTTCTTGCGTTTCACAAACCCGAGTACAACAGCATAAATGCATAAAGATATTCGTTCGTATATTTATCGAGCAATCGAATTTTTTGTGGATCGATGAACAGGGCAAAATTTTTCAGAAATTGTTGGCGAATTTGGAGAAAAATTGAGACGCTCGAGCTGAACACGAAACGTTGCGGGAACTTGCTAAAAAGTATTCGAGTATTCGCGAACGGTGTTGGAGCTTGAAAGTTTCACAAAACACACGTCACAATACCGGTTCGCACGATAGTGCTATTCTAGAAAGTACAGGGAAACCACGTGTCATCGATTATTTGTTTAAAAAAAGACGAGGAAATAATTGGCGTGCATCGTGCCGACACGAGTGGAGAATCCAATCTTATAATTGGCAATCTAGAAGCGCGATAACAGGGCAGAGAGGGAGAGAGAGAGAGAGAGAGAGCACGCGCGCAAGAGAGAGAGAGAGAAAGAGAGAGAGAGAGAGTGAGATGAGAAACGACAGTTGTCGCCGCCTTTCTCGAAATTAGAATCCGGTGTAGAAGCAACTTAATGTGACGAGCCTAAGTTGGCTTAATTTATTATTCACGGTGCACTAAGATTTCTTTCTTTTAAGCACGCAACGCGATATCACGCGAAGACTCCGCACGGTTGATCGTTAACCTCTCGCGTTAATTAGCGGGCATGGGAGTGTAAAGCCTGCTGAAGTAAGATACTAAAACGGGAAATCAAATAATTTTGCCGAGTATACACACGTGACGTGTCGTTCGGGGGCCCCATAGTTTCTATTCTATGGCACTAGACGCAAAATCATTCGGTGAGTCACTCGTCAATGGGATCAGAAAGTAGCGGTAAATTACCAAAAGTGATTAGCGGTCCTTCGTGAAAACGCTTTTCACTTTGTCGCGTCCAGTTCCGGTCGTTTGTGTTAGCGGCAACCTCCGATAACAACGATGAATGAAGCCCGGCCGGTTTTTCTGTTACATATAAATCCCTATATTTGGCGTAGCCATAAACCGTCATAAATATTTATGACTTCGATGACAAAAATCTATTACACTGTCCATTCTACTTTATTCGACTGTTTCACGTGTTCAAGGGGCATAGTTCCTCACTCGGGCGAGCGCATAAAATTTCATATTTCGAGCATAACTCACATTTTACAAGGAATTACAATAGTGATCCATAAACTCGAGTGTTAATTGCGGTTCGGTGAACAAATTCCATTCGTTAACGAACTGAGAAATATTTATCAACAGGAAAAGTTAGACAATTCGAGCTGTTATCGATTGCTCTGGTACTAGCATAATCGTGCAGCTTCTGCACGATTGATAAATGCTTGAAGTGCTTGTATAAACAGGAAAGTTCGACGTTTACGACATTGTGTACGAAATTCCGGAATCTTATACTCTTTATCGATTACTTCAAAAGAATGATAGTCAAGCGACTTCTGCATCGTATGGTTGTTATCTTGTCGGAAGTTGCACGAAATTGTTCTATTGCTTTTAATCATGCAAATTTCTGTATTGCACACTTTCACGGTAAAAAATGAAACGGTCACTTTATAGTTTGGGCTGAATAAATGCATTCTTGAAAGCAAAGATGAGAATACGAACTTCTTACTCGTTGAATAAACAAATTTTAAAAAGTAGAAATTAAATAGAATCCCGCTTTCGCTATTTTGAAGTTGTTGCGTCATTATATTTTATACTGTTGCAGCTCGGTACTTCAACGACACTTGAAGGTACTTCAAGCTAAACGGTTTTATTCGATTAGATAAGTTTCAACAAGCCGATAGAAAAGTAACGTGACAGCGTTTACGTAATTAATATATATAAACTTATCTAATCGAATGTATAAGAAATAAATAAATGTATATATATATGTATAGATACACATATAAGAAATGAAATCGTAAGTAATACTGTCGTCAGATTCAATTCCGTGTCTTCGAAAGTGTCGTGTCGTTTATTACCGTTCCATTGCTATATGAAAGTATTAGAAATAAATAAATGTATATATATGTATAGATACACATATAAGAAATGAAATCGCAAGTAATAATGTCGTCAGATTCAATTCCGTGTCTTCGAAAGTGTCGTGTCGTTTATTACCGTTCCATTGCTATATGAAAGTATTAGAAATAAATAAATGTATATATATGTATAGATACACATATAAGAAATGAAATCGCAAGTAATAATGTCGTCAGATTCAATTCCGTGTTTCCGAAAGTGTCGTGTCGTTTATTACCGTTCCTTTGCTATATGAAAGCTCGAGGGCTTTGGAAAGTTCACTTACAAGATTAACTTTGTAATTGCAGATAAAGATAGAGGTATCTACGGATCAACGTGAAATTCAACGATTCCAACTCCTTCGAGCGAATTGTCTTTGCTTGATTCTGATGAATTATTGATCATAACCAGACTGCGGATCTTTATGCATTTATGAGGTATGGAAATTCCCAAAACGGTAGAAATCCTGTTAATTTTGTTTTTACCAGGAGGAATTTTTTTCGTCGATGACAGATATTTCTGCACCGTATTTCATTCTCGTCAAGCTCTAAATGAAAATGGATATTTGCATAAACGTCCGCAAGTCTAGTCGCAACTTTACGCTATCTTCTAGTCCGATTTCTGCTTCTTCACTGTATCTTGTACATGTATCTTGTATTCAATAATGTTTAACAATTACTTCGAACGCGTCGAAAAATACGCACTCCAACGACTATCTCTATTTTCTACAGTTTTCTCTACAGATCTTTCAAAATTTGACAATACAACGCTTTTGGGTTCGAATAAACCGGTTAATAATTATCTTAGTTTAGCGAAGTCGATTAAGTGTCTATCTTATGTCACAATTTTCAGTTATAAACGGAGTTGGGAGGTCGCGAAATTAACTTTCCGTGCACACTGACCTAACACCGTAAACGCTCGAAGTTCAAAGTACACTAATTACATGCACTCAATGTTGCTACGATTTTGGCCGCTCGAATGACAAACGACGAGCCCCGCGGGCACGAATCATTCGTGCAGCGTATAGGTACATCTTCCACTTGAAACCACCTTGGTCGATCAAGGAAAGCTATAGATAAATAAAACGACCGGCCGTTCGCCTAATCTCGTTCCCCAATATCCGCCTTAAAATGGTAAAATTTCAGCTGTCCCTGGCACTATTCCGGAAACGTTAAAACTTGCCGTATCTCGGCTGTTAAATAGACGAAAGGGTAATAGAGAAATTATGAAAATTTAATAGCATTCTAAAAGGTTCTTCCAATTAGCGCTATTATCCCTTACCTAACTCGAAAATTATTCCAATAGTTAATTTATATTATCTTGTCTGGTTCTATTATACTTTGAAATAAATATACACAATTTATAAAATTGAAATATATATATATATATATATATATATATATATATATATATATATACAAATTATTAACTTCTAACTGTATATTACAATTTACATTCTCCATAAAATATTATAAAAATATAGCTAAAAGTATTATTGATTTTTTTAAAAATGGTATTAATGTTTTGTTTCAGGCTAGGCATGAAATTATAATCGTCACGAATGCCTAACTTTGTTTAGCAAGAGCAAAGTCAGATAGTCAGAAAATTTACAAATTGTTAAGAAATTCGAAAATTGTACAGCGTTAACGATCCTTTCGACATTTACACGAGAAACGTGCTTCAAAGAATTTCTCTCTAGCTGAAATACACGTACATGTTTATCGGATATTAATTGTTACTGTTCCTCTCTTTTCCGTCATATTCGAACTGCAAAAGTAAATTGAATGTCTAGAACGAGTTCGCAATGCAGATTGACATTGTAAATAAAATAGCCAAAAAAAATCCAGCGACCTCTTGATCGACCCATTCGTTCCGCCTACGATATATTTCCGTCAAAACGAACGAAAAACATAGTTCGATATCCTATTTAATTGTTAATCGAACCCATTTCGTCGATTACTGTGCAATTTTCGGACTCCAAAAAATCTTGTCGTAGGATTTTTCAAACGTTCGTCCCTTGGCCGAATCGATTAGTATCTTTTTAATTTTCTATCGACAAATGTGCTCGGAAATTGTAACCAGTTTCAAGCGAAATATAACGGAATAGTAATTGAATTATAAAGTAAAACACTTGAAATTCACGCATCTATTCTCAACGTTTCCTCGCATATCGGTCTTTCACAGTTGCACGTTCTATCGCGCAAGTAATCGCGCGACGAATTTTACTCGTTATACACATCGGAGTACCCGTCCGAATATCACAGATACATCACAAACGTATGCTACGCGGGCTCTCAAGCTCGAAAGTACTTGTAAAACAAAAGCACGTTCGTCACCGGAGGACACTGTGTCTCTCGTTAGCAGAAGGTCCCGAGATCAGAACAGAATATCGAAGTGTGAAAATAAAACGAACGAACAGCCACGAGAAAGTTGTATCACCAGCAGCAAGCACAACGACTCGAATCGATCACAACGCTGGCGTGCGAAGAAACAAATACACCCGCAGAAACGTAATTGCTGATAATCGTCGCCGAAAACGAAAGTGATCCGGTAAAGAGAATCTAGAAACCAGTGATTGCTTAACAGCCGCCGTGCCAGGCGAGCGCTATGCCATGAAACAGAAATATCGAGCCCTGACAAAATTGATGACAACCCGGGAGCGATTAACTTTAACACCGTTTATCGCCCGATCTCGCCGATTTATCCCCTGCCGAGGCCAGCCACATCGAAAACGGACAAGAAACGTCGTTGGATCACCTACCTTTCGAATCGGGAGGTGGCCGAGGTTGATACACCGGGCGAAGTCGAACTGTCTTCTTCACAGAAAAAATTCCTCGCCGGAAAAAAAACAACGCAAAGAAGGTGGCGGGGAACGGCGGAGTCCTGACGACGGATCGGGGTCGAACTTCCCTCGCCGAGAGCCGATCGTAACAACGCAACTTCCGGTGCTCCAGGTGCGGGATAATCGGTCGCGGTGCTCGCTCAAGGGCTCGTCGATTACGATTTCTCCTGCGTGGTGGATGATAATCGAGCGGTCTCGTCCTGGGATAACAGGTGGGCACGCCGGAGTTCCTCACCGTGCAGAGTACTAACGACGTGTGACGTCGACGGCTCGGTGCGAGAGGGCTTTTATAGCCGGCCGTGCCGACTCGCCTCGACGCCGCTCGACGCGGCTTACCGCCGAAGAGTTCGCGGAGCTTCAAAGGCCGATTTCCTTCGTTTAACCCCCGACTTCTGGGCTCGCCTATCTTACAGCATGCTAAGCGAATGGCGATCTAACACCGTATTGTTTGCGGACCGAATCGTTTTTTCGCTGCTTCCCGAAAATAAATTCGAATTCGATGTGCAACAGGGCGCGTTGAACGCGCCGACGATGCAACTGTTTCGACAAATTCTTTCTTCGGTCTTCCAGTTAGGAGCGATTAGGTGATACGGAAAGTAATGTCGTTCTTTCGCGGGAAAATGAAAGAGAATCTTTTAATATTTAGAGGAAATATTATATCCGACGAGATGTGTCGTTCTATAAATTTCTAATAGCCTTCTGGTAGCTTCAAGATCTTATGCTTGTAGAAATCCTGTTTTTATCGTGAAGATACCAAATCGTGCGTCTTTTTCGACACCGTGCTATTTACGAAACGAAATCAGTTTCGAACAACCTGATAGATTAGGTGTTAATTGAAGATTAAATCGAGTTCACTTTCTCCTTACGAGATTATTTGAAACTCGTAAAATGCAAAGCATCTCTCGGTTCTTCTAAATCTTATCTGACGTAAGATAATTTCAGGATGATTTCTAACTTTTTGACTTCTCGCTTAGACGATCTTACGAATTGCCAAGCGAATGGTAACCTTACTGTATCGATTACAAGTCAAATTGATCTTATTGTTTTCCTGAACTGAATTCGAAACTCGCGAAACAGGACGCGATAAGATAATTTGACAATTTCTTTTCTTTGAAAATACATGGTCGAAAAATACAGAACAGCGCGATAACGTTTGTCTTAATATGCGTACCATTAGTTTAGAGATATTTCAGTTTTGTTCAATAAAAATTATTGAGAACATAACAATGAAATTCAAAATGTGTCAGTTGTATTATTTACATTTTAAAAAAGCAGCTGTGCGATGTACGTGCATTAGTAAAGTTGAGCGCGCTGCTTCGATAGTTTGCGAGAGTGCACTGTCGATTGTCCATAGCGTACAAATGCCCTGGGACTTTTCGACACAAAATCCAAACAGCGGGATCGCGCTGCTTTGGACTCGAATGGTTAAATTTGTGACATTCGAGCTGGGATATCTGCGAACTTATTAAACGAGTGACAAGTTTACTGTACTGATTTCGAGTGAAATTGACTTCACTGCTTTGTTAGAACGACAACATTCGAATCTCTTCGAGCAAGATTAGATTCGTTAAAATTCACTAAACAATCTCTTTGTTTGGTTCTCGATCTAGGAGCTAGATTTTATATGAATTATAAATCAATATGTAAATATTGTTTAACGATGTAATGTTCGATAACTTTTTGACATCTTTCTGGTAGCTTCGAAATCTTATGCTCGCAGAAGTTTATGCTCATTATTGACAAAATACTGAATCAAATGCTTTTTTGTTAACACCCTTACAAAACGAAATTACGTTCGAAGCAACCTAATAGATTTGATGTTAATAAAAAATTATTTTATATTAATTTATATTATTTAATCATTATTATATTAGATATTGATAATATTTAATGTTATTAATAATAATTCAAATTGATTTTACCGTTTGTTTATGACAGTATTTTAAGCTCGTGACTTTAAACTAAATCTTTATTAAACATTTGATCGTTTGAAGATGATTTCTTTCTCCACTTTTTGACTTACGAATTAGTGTATTTTTTCTCTTGAATTTTCGACTTTTCACAAGTCAGAGAATCAACTCGACACAAGGCCTTTCAAATTTGTTGAATATCTTCCATAATATATCTTCCAAATAATATCTTCCAACATGTTAATTTCACTGTATTCGTTGCGAAACCAAATTGATTTTACTCTTTCTGTAGAAGAAAATTCTAAATTCACGAAGCTTGTCGATTTATTTTGACGATTTTTCACTTTAACCTTTGACTTTTGAGTTAGGTTAACTCCGACGTCTTCGTACTTATTAAAATAACGATCATTCGACGAATCATAATCTTTTTCGAATCATTTAACGAATCATAATCTGGCTGTATTGATTTAAAAATAATCGACTTGTTTACAGATGTTTGTTTAGAGAAAATACTCAGTTCGCAGAATAGGAAAGCTGAAACTATTTTAAACGAACAAAAGGTTTATGTTAATCACAAAGAAAATTAATTTAATTGTACCTGTCTTCTTACGCAAATCACTATTCTCAATCTCTATTGTAGGATGCCTAAGATCTCTTTAAACTTGAAAAACAAATGAAAATTTGGTTCAACCGATTGTACAGAAAAATAATTTCACTATGCCTGTTTATTTAGTGCAAAAACTCAACGAGTTGAAGTAGAGTATCTCAAACCCTTCGTTATGGCTTATTTGAGTATACCGATTGCAAACAAAATTTATTCGATAGTAATATTTTTGGAGAAGAATATTGTGTTTGAAATTTCTTAAAACTTGCTATACGAATGAAAATTTTGTCCACACTAATCACAAAGAAAATTACTTTCAGTACAAGCTGTCCATTTCGAGAAACAACTTCTCAAATCGTAAAGTACATAAATAAATTCTTAAAAAACAACTTTCCGAGACAATGATACGAACAGAATTTATTGGACTTATTGTTTATTAATTTATAAAATAATATTTTTAATTTGTTACGCAGAGGACAAAGGTATTGATCTTGAAGAAAATGTTATTGGCGGCACCCACTTTAATGCAGCAGATCGTATCGGTTTGTTTGCAGAGGAAATAATTTTCAATTTGTAAGACAAGGTATATTAAGTTAGTTGTGTCCATTGTAAACAAAATTTTAGCAACCTCATTTGTTCGAATGTGGTTAACCGCGGTTGTTCGTTTACGGGCAAAAAAATCGTGAATACGAGAGGTACAGTAATTGGGTATCCTACAGCTGGTAAACGAATGAAAATAGTGATTTCATTTTCGTGGGAAGTTGATTATCAGAACAAAATTTCCAATTAGGGAGGTAGAATGTTTGAGATCACATGAAATATTTAAAGCAAACGGAAACTTGTTTATTTCATTGTAACAAATCGTATTTTAATAATAATGATTTCGAACGTTCAGAGACTGCTAAAAATTGCTTAATGAGACTATTCTTTACCACAAAACTATTGAAAATTTAGACTAATAAAGAAACGATGATTTTCATTTAATCTTTATTAATACCCCTATTAATGCTTTCTCTTCACCGTCGTTTTATTTTGTATCATATCAGTGTATTTAAAATGGAAATGTTTATAACGATGATTATTCAGATATCGAAGATGGAATATAATTCCTTCGTTATAATTAATTGAAATATAATTATCAGAGAATGGTTTGGTTGCTTAACTGTACCCACAATCTAAGTGCACGTGATTCTAACTGAGTGAATATTGGTCAAAATGTCGCAATTTTCAGATGTATACTTCAACGTATTGTTATTGAATTTGTATTAATTGAAATAAAATCGAAAAACGTGTGCGATGAATCTAATGCTTAGATCGTAACTACTCATAGAATCTATAACAGAATATTTTGTAAATTTTTCGAACGATTTCTATTGTAACGTATAAATTAATTAATAACGTATTTAATTATTTCCACCAAACTTGCTTATAATCATTTAAGTCTCCGCTTTTAATTTGCAAAGTGCAAGGGTGTATTAGGGACAGATTAAAAACTTATTGCGAAAATGCAGATATTAATTAATTATTTGTATTTTTTTACATTTTACGATCATTAATAATGAATTATAATTAGATCGCTGCAATTCAATTTTTTTTTATCAATTTGGATATATAGCTGCCACAATGCTTTGCACAATTAATTTTTCAAAGACTAAGATAAAGACTAAATAAAGAATGTCCCACGAGATAAATATGTAAATATAGCACATTACAGATAAAAAGCAATTCGTCATGAAATACTTTGCACATTTTACTTGCTTGCATTTTATCAGTATCGGTACGTTTTATACTCACTATTAAGTTTTTCATTTAGTTTCAGAACGTTCCCTAAATATACAAATAATATATAAACGATTGAGACTATTGACTGTATATAAAAAGTCAATGAAGGGTGGTATACATAAATAAAAAATTTGAATAATTTTGAACGTCAGCATCAAAACAGACTTCGGAAAATATTTTAATAAAACAGCCTCGTCCCATATTTACCTCAAATATTTAGTCTTTTCAT